AGAAAAAGTTTTCCGAACTATAGGGCATGCTCCGGTGGAGGTGGAGGGTAATGAAAGACCTACGGAGAGTAGGAATAGTTGCCAATGTTATTGGATATTGTCAAGTATGACTTTAGCTTGACTACATCAACTTTTTTTTAACTTTTTTTTTTTGAAAGAAAACAAAATTCCAAAGTCAACAAAAGCAAGAATATCACAGGGAATTCAAATTTGCTCCAGCTAGTAGGAGGTGACAGAAGGGGATCATACCATGATGGGTGGGGGACAGTGGGCACAAGTATGCAAACAGAGGTGTGTTGGTAAATCTTTAACAACCAGTCCTCCGAAAAAGAAAATGTTATACAATGACATACTTTAAAGTTTAATTTGCATTATTAACATTTTTCTCCATCATTTTCCTAAGTCTAGACAACCCATAAAATGATAAATCAAACCCTGATTTGTAGGTTTGCCCATTTTTGAGGCATAAATGATCACATTGAAAATTTAACAATCAGCTTTCTAGAGCATATATGAGCTGGCTCCAGCACATCCTGGGCTACAGGGGATAATTCTCTTTTGCCTCCCTTTCTCCATCTCACTGCCTCAGTGACTCTCCAAGTAAACCCCATCTTCCCCTTCTCGGAGGTCCAGCACTTGGCCAAAAGTAGAAACTAATGTTGATCTGATGTCTTCCCATTACCTCCACCCTGCACTGAGTGGGGCTTCAGCCCCTGTTGCCTACATAAATACAGGGGCTCCAAGAAAGACTCTGGCAATCAAATACTGGAGTACCAACCTACAGTACCCATTAAAGACCTCTCTCCCATCTCTCCTCCACTAAGGAGGTTCCCAGGCTTGGCTGGCAGAGTTGAGGGTTCAGGAAAGTAGTGGCAAGTTCACCACTGTTTTTTCTCCTTTGCTTTTGGAAACCAGTAGAATTGACAGTGCTGGATTTCGAGTCAGAGGAGATAAGTTAAAGTCCTCTTCTGCCACTTACTACCTACCTATGTCACTTTGGGCAAGTCATTTCAACTCTCTGGGCCTCAGTTTCCTTAACTGCAAAATGTGGAAGTTGGATTTGATTACCTCAAAGTTTCCTTCTATGTCTGTTTCTATGATGCATGTAGTGATTCTAAATGGAATTTAGTGATTGTTTACATTATTTTTATCAGGAGTTTAAGATTTGTTTGTATGCTGTTATAAAATTACAATGTTATTAACACTATTGAATAAATTAAACCAAGAAAATTATTTTAGTAGATTGCTTTAAGAAAAGTGGCCAGTTTTTGTTAAGATGCCAGGCCCATCTGGGGAATTGTTGATAATTTCTATTTCCATTCCATAATCACTAGAGATATCTTACTTTTCTAAAATTCTACTTAGGTCCTAAATTTCTTTCTTGTTTATTTTTGGTTAGATTTGTCTAGGTCTGACAATAGTTTTATTGTCTACCTCTCCACATAATTAATTGAGCTTTTCCTTTAAGTTTTTAATTACTATGCCATTTAGTTTAGGTACATATATATGTACATATACATATTTACAGATATTTACAGCTAGGTTGGTATAGTAGAGAGAGTGCTGGTCCTGGAGTCTCATCTTCCCTGAGATCAAATCTGTCCTCGGATATGTGACCCTGGGCAAGTCACTTAAACCTGCTTGCCTCAGGTTCCTCATCTATAAAATGAGCTGGAGAAGGAAATGGCAAAACACTCTAGTATCTTTGCCAAGAAAACCCATATAGGGGTCATGAAGACTCAGATATGACGGAAAAAAGACTGAAATACAGATATACATTGAGTATTGATTTTGATTTATTGTATAGGATACCTTTAAGCATAATGTAATTTCTCTGTTTATCTCTTCTAATTATGGCAACCTTATTGAAAATCATGACTGCTACTATTGTTTTTATGGGTTTAGGGAAAACAGGCAAATTAATGCACTATTGGTGTAGTTGTGAATCAGTCCAGCCATTTTGGAAATAATATGGAACTATGTCCCAAAATGTACTAAATTGTGCATACCTCAGTTTGACACAGCAATACTAACACTAGGCCTATACTCCAAAGAGATAAAAGAGGGAAAAGACCAATATTTATGAAGATATTTATAATCAGTCTTTTTGGGGATGGCAAAAGAATTGGAAACTTAGTGGATGTCCATCAATTGGGAAATGGCTGAATAAAGTACAGTGTATAAATGTAATAGAATACTATTGTGCTAAAAGGAATTATGGAATGGACAGTTTTAGGGAAATGGGAAGATTTGTATGCACTGATACAGAATGAATGAGCAAAACCAGAATAATTTCTACAGTAACACCAGGAGTATGCTAATAAATGTTTAACAATTAGTTTTCTGAAAATGCACCACACAGTTCCATTTTCTCCATCACTTTCTTCAATCAACAAAAAAAAAATCAATTTGTAGCCTTGGCTGATTTCTGATTGTGTAAAGGCTCACACTGAAAATTTAACAATCAACTAGCTCTAGTACAATCCTAATAACACCACCATTGAACAAATGAACAGCTTTGAAAGACTTATCCAGGCAATGACCAAACATTATTCCAGAGGATTGATGATGAAGAATGTTGCCTTCTTCCTGAGAGGGAGGTGATGGACTTGATAAGCAAGATGAGGCACATAGTTTTGGACATGGGCAGTGGCCTAATTTGTTTTGCTTGACTAAGCATATTTAACAATTACGAGAGGTTTTTTGCTTTTTAAATTTTTTTTTTTCAGTGGGGAAGAAGGGAGGTTAGGTGAAGAGAAAATAAATGCTTTTTAATTGAAAAATAAATTACATTTCATTTTAAAAGTGGAAAAACCTTTGTTGTTGTTTGTTGTTGTTGTTAAAAAGGGAGGCCTTGATGCATGAAGTTTGGACATCAGGATTTATACATTAAGTTATAAAATGCCAGTACTGGATAAGAATTTGGAATAAGCCATCAGCTGGAAAGAGCCTCAGAGTTCATGAAAAGAGGACTGGGTTTGGCTCTGCTACTTACTATCTGTTTGAGTTTGGGAAAGTCACTTCATAGGAACATGAGATCATAAGATCACGCCTTCTTAGTTTCCTTTGCTAGATCCATGTCATGTCTTCTATTCTTGGTAATACTCTAAGGCTCTGCCCTGGGATCTCCAATTTTCTCTTTCTCTACTCTTTTCCTCATCAACTCTCATGAGTTTAGTTGCTATTTCTATGCAGTGAGTCTCAGAGCTGTACATCCAGACCCAGTCTTTCTCCTGAGCTCCAATTTTGCAACACTATTGGACATTTCAAACTGGATATCCCACAACTAAAAAAAAAATTCAGACAAAAAAATGGAGAGAGAATGATATATTCTTTTACTACAACTCTCTAGAGAAAAGAAAGAGTATTTATACCAGGAAAGAGCCTAGGCAATGAGTCAGTAGTAGGGTGAAGGGGGCAAATAGGAGTGGTTGAATAATCCTGTGCACCATACCAGCCTGATAATGCTACACTCGTATTCATTTTATATGTATCTACGTAAGTACATGTTGACTCTCCCAATAGAATGCAAACTTCTTTGTTGTTTCATTTTGTCTTTGCATCCTCGCTGCTTGGCACAATGCCTGGCACATAGTAGGCCCTTAATAAATGCTTGTTGATTGATTGAAAAGATCGTAGGATCATAGATATAATGATAGAAGAAACTCCAAAGGCCACCGAGTCTGATTCTCTCATTATACAACGGAAGAAACTGCTAAATTATATAGGTTGTGTAAGGTCCAGAACTCCCCCACGTAGGGAACCCTGTACTTCTCCCCTAATTGTGGGGTAGTCTTTGTATACCAAAGGAAGAGGCCAAAGAGCTCCAGATTGATTATAGGTAGTAGTTTAATCAATTTGGATTACTTACATTTGGGGCAGTATGATGGATCCCTGCCAAAATATTAGTCATTCTCAGTCTGGGGTGGCAGCCACACCAGTCAGGGAATCCTGGCTAAGAACCCCAAAATCCCCGTGGTGCTTATAGAAAACAGACAAAGGCAGGAGGAGCTAGATCATGCATCACTACTGATTGGTGGGTATTTTTGGTTTTCTGCTTAGTAATGAGCTTGGGAGTCAAGCCAATGTTATGCCCAAATATAAGTTTGTGTATGGATCATATACCAGTCACATATGGGTGACATATTCTTATTATGATTTTCATAGGTCATAGTATCTTAAGTTATGACTCAGTATCTAAGTTATGATTGTAAACAGGTCACCATGTTTGGGCTTCCACTTTTCACAGAGTTTAAGTTTTTATGCCTTCTCACTTACTACTGTATTTTATGGCTTTTTCCCAATTGGGACCCCACAGGTAGTAAGCATCAGAAGTGGCATTTGAACTCAGGCCCTCCAACTCCAGAACCAGTACTTTTTCTCCTCACTGTATCAGTGGGCTGACTAGTTGATCTCTAAGGTCCCTTCCAGCTCTAAGTCCTGTCGTCCCATGGTCCTGGATCTACTATGAAACTCTTCTGTGACCTTGAAGTCACAGTTTCCTAATCTTTGAAGTGGGAATAACAAGAATAATTCTTATATTATCTACCTCACAGGGTTACTGAGAGAACGAAAAAAAAATGTAATGTTTGTTAATTGCTTAGTAGGCTATTATTGTTTTTCGGATGAAGACATTGAAGCCCAGGATGGGGAAGGGGTTTTTGCTTATATTATGTGTTAATTTCTTCTGTATTAATAAAAGCATGCAACCGTATTGTGACTTTGTGATACACATATATAATCATGCATGCTACATGCATGTAGATAGTGTGTCCCAAAAGCCTCAGTGAGGTTTTAAGCTATTAAAGCTTAAATTTTTTAATACACTAAGACTTTGGGGGATGCTGTACATACCTATGTGCAGAAACATAAATACATATGTTCCTACATATGCTGCACACACTCTGGAGTTTGAGGTCAGGGAAGGATCTCTTTCCAGGTCCCTTCTGATCACTCCCCCCTGCTTCAATCTTAGAAGTCCAAGATATCTTCTAGGACCCAATTACCAAGCTTTCTACCATTCTCCATTCAAATTAATCTGTCTTCCATCCCCACCCTTTCTTCCTCAACTACTTTCAGTCCCATTTGACCACTAAGGTAGGTGGGTCTGGGGTATATTAGAAAGAATCAATCCAGTTGCCTCTTCTGGTCTCTTTATTGAGGAAGCTCTGGAAGAAAAGTCCATCGTTGTCAGGGCAATGAGGTTTAGATAGCACCTGTGGGTTCCTGGCACAATTGACCACCCAAAGCTGGGGATGGATTGACGAGTGGGAGCCAACTATGGTCTATGGGTGTTTTGTGGGATATAGAAGTTCTCTTGTAAGAAGGGGGAAATGTGGGGGAGGGGGGGTGGAGCTGTTTCCCAAGTCTGTTTCCTCTCCCTGGGATTTGTCTTCCCCATGCCATTTTATATCCCAGCTCTTGCTGAGCAGTCCTGAATTTGTCCATCTATATGGAGGAATGTCTGAAAGGGATGACAATCATCTCTGTTTAGAAGTGAGGCTGTTGACCTGGCAACTGTGCCCTATTTCCATCACTGTAGTGAGCTTATGGCTAGAAGGGGACAAAGAGAAAGAGATGACCTAGGGGGTTGATGTAGTAGAAAAGTTGTTGAATTTTATATCATAAGACCTGGGTTCAAATTCCAGCTCCTTATTACCTGCATGACATTAGACAAATCATAGTTTCCTCATTTTTAGAATAGAGGGAAAAAGTTGGATTGGAGGGTTTGGGTACAAAAGTATCTTTCAGCCCTAAATCTATGGTCTCCAACCCCCTCCGCCCCATCAACTTAGGTTTTTTATTTTTCCGGAAAGCTGTTTTATTCCTGTTCCTACCTCTAATCTACTGTGTGACCTTGGGAAAAGTCACTTCTTCTCTTTAGGCCTTATTTTCCAGTTCATGAGAGGGTTAGATTAAATCAGGGGTTCCCATTTAGTGGTTCATGAACCTTTTGGGGGTTCTCAATGGTGGTCTGAGGGATTTGAGCTAAATTCTTCAATGGCATCTTGAGCAGTAAATAATTGCAGAATACCACGAATAACATATTATATTACCTTGGCAGTTCACAACCTTTTTGTTATTGTTGTTGTTGAAAGGGCTTTAAGGAATATAAAAAGTTGGAACCACTGACCTAGATAATCTCTAAGGTCCCTTCTAGACCTGACCACCTAAAAAACTGGATAATCCTGAGATAAGAATTGGAAAGAATCAGCAAAGCTATGATCTACCCAAAGGGAAAGAAAAGCAAAGAAGCATAACTGGAAAGTAGAAAGATATTGATGATGTTTTCTGCTTGGTCTTTGCCAGGACTTCTGGAATAAAGCCCCTAAGGGGAGAACTGGCCTAGAGTGGAGAGGTGGGGTGGGGTGTGAACAACCAGAGGTGATCTCCCCATCATAAATAACTATTCTACTCTGTATAGTCACTGTCTTTTGGGTCATGTGGGGCCCAGCTGGAGGGGTGGCTTGGCCTGCCCTGTGTGGGGAGCCTAGACCCGGGACACTGCCCCAGCCATGGAGTGATTAGAACCAGATAAGTCGGTTGGATCGGAGCCCAGCAAAACACATGTTGTTGTTGCAGCTGCCGCCATAACTGGGGGGACAGGCTGAGCAGGGTTCCCCCATCTTGTATGGAGCTTCCCCAATCCAGTTGCCCCTGGAAAGAGAAGAGGAAATTGTGGGATAGGAATAGAAAAGAGTATTGTTGTCAGCTGTAGGGCATGACAAATATGAGAAATTCAGAGAAATCCTGGACAGACTCATATGAAGTACTACAGAGTGAAGAAAATAAATTTAAAAATAATATGTTTAAATTAATTGCAATGACTCATCTTGATTTCAAACAACAGAAGATGAAATATACATTCCCACCCTGCCTTGGAGAGAGGTGGGAAACTTGCAAGTAAAGAATATTACATACACAGATGGGGATCACTTGGTCAGTTAGTTGGTTTTGCTGAAACATTTTTCTTTGTTATAGGGGAGGGTTCCCTGAGTTGGAGTATGTTGGGAAATGAATATATTTTTTAAAAGAAATAAAGAGAAGAGAACTCAGAAAGATAAGGGTTCATATCAGTTTGAGGGTAATAAAGAACAATGCTGGGGAGTGGGCCTCATTGCCATCTGTACTCATTCCCACCAGGTTCTCTTTGCTCCGCTCTGATCTGTAGTCCAATACCAAATTACTGTTCCTAAAACACAGCTTGGATCATCAGTCCTTCCCTCCTCAACAAATAATCTTCAGTGGCTCTCTATTACTTCAATCTTTCAAAATTCCCTGATTTCAACACACATCCTCATGTCTCTCCACCTTAGCAGATAGCATTATGAATTGCTCTTGTGCTGAGCCTCTCTAAATATAACTAGCCTGTTTCTCAGATGGCAAACCTATGGTCCATCTCCAGGTCTGTACACAAAGCCTTTCCCACTTAGTAGAACCTGCTAATGCTTGTAATCCACAGGTATAACCTTCATGAACAAGGATCACAATCATAACATGAGTACATATTATCTATCTGTTGTTCAAGGACCTTACAGAATAAGGTCTTAATGCCTCAGATTGTTACTCAAGGTCCTCCACAGTATAGCACCAACCTACCCTTTCAGACTTTCTAGCTTCATCTTCCACTAGTCCTTTATGTATTCCTGAGACTATTCACTATCTCTCAAAAACATCCTGCATTTCTACCCTCTGCACTTTTGTCCAAACCATTCTCATTCCCCACCGGAATTTTCCCATCTCCTTTCTGTCTCTCTGAATTTTTCCCATCCTTCAAGACCCAGCTCAGAACCTCTGTGAAGCCTTCTTCCATTATCCCAAGACTTCAGTTATCTCTCCTCATGCTGTGCTCTGATAGTCCGGACTGATCGTTCCACTCAATAGGTGCTTAGACTACCTGAGGCTCAGGGGGTTTTGCATGTGTGTCAGTCTTGCCTCCCTAACTAGATTGTGAGCTCCATGAGGGAAGGAGCCACATCTTACAAAGCTTTTTGTATCCCCTTCTTCCTCCTTTGCCCAGAATAGGCAACTCAGTAAATAGTATTTGTTGACTGATTGAGTGATTAATTCCCTGATCTCCATCCACCAAGGAAGGAGAGATATTCCAGGGGAAGCCACTAAGTTTTGAAATTCTGGCTTCTGGAAGAAAATAAATTGATAAGATGGGAGGGAGGCTAGGAGCATGCAGTGAGCACTTAAAGACCATGCAACTAGTTGGCAGGGGAAAAATATTTATAGGCACTCTTTTTATGGTGACAAAGCCCCTGAAAACTAAGTACGTCTAGCAATTGAGAAATGGCTGAATAGGTTGTAGTATATGAGTGCAATGGAGTACTATTGTGCTGTAAGAAACGAGGAAATAAATAGTTTCAAAAAAGATCTGAAAAGACTTACACAAACTGATGCAGAGTGAAGTGAGCAGGACTAAAAGAACCATTTATACTATAACACCATTATTATAAAAATGAACACTTTTTAGGACTTTTATAAACTTGATGAAGAATGAAATGATCAAGCAGAACCATGAGAACAATTTATACAACGAAAAAGCTGTAAAACAAACAAAAAACCTGGAATACAATGGCCATCTGTAGATCCAGAGGACCAGTGATAACCATGACAGAGAGGTGATGGATTTAAGGGGCAGAATGAGACTACACACACATACACACACACACACACACACACACACACAATAAATTAGATTTCTTTCATTTTTTTTTTAAGTAGAGGGGGAGTGCTCTAGATGTGAAATGTTGTAGCATTTTCAGATGAGGTCAGTGTATTATTGGTCTGTTTTAACTGTTTTGCTTTCTTATAAGAGACCTCTCATGAAGTTGTAACAATCTGTAAATGTATGGAATATAAAAACAAAACATACCAAAGAAACTTAGTAACAAGAAAGAAAGAGAGAGGGAGAGAAGGAGGGAGGGAGAGAGGAAGGAAGGAAGGGAGAGAAAGAGAAGAAGGAAGGCGCCTACTAGAAATAAGCAGCATGGAATAATGGAAAGAATTTGAATCTAATTTCTTCTTCTTACGCACATGGCCATGACCTTAGTCTATGTCATTATTTCCCTTCATCTGGATGATTGCAGTGGCCTCTTCCTTGGTCTCCCTGCCTCAAGTCTCTTCCCACTCTAATTAATCATCCACATAGCTGCCAATGTGATTTTCCTTAAGAACAGATCTAATCATATCACTCCTCTACTCAATAAACGTCAATGATTCCCTTTTGCCTCTAGTACAAGATACAAATTCTCTTCTTGACTTTTGTAGTCCTTCACAAACTAGCCCTAATCTGTCTTTCTGGTCTCATTATATATGACTCCCTTTTCTGAACTGTATGATTTAGTCAAATTGTCCTGTCTATAGCACTTCATCTCCCATCTTCATACTTTTGCAGTAATTGTTCACCATGCCTGGAACATGCTCCTTCCTCAATTTCACTTCATAGAATTGCTCTCTTCCTTCAATATGCAGCTTAGCCACCACCTTCTACATGGAGTCTTTCTTGATTACCCTCCACCTGTGAGGGCCCTCACTCCATAACTACTTTGTATTTAATGACCTTCTATCTATCTATCTATCTATCTATCTATCTATCTATCTATCTATCTATCTATCTATGTGTCTGTCTGTCTGTCTGTCTGTCTATCTTCTACACATATTGTTTCCCCCCAATAGAATATAAACTCCTTGACAGTAGGGTTTAATTTATTGTATTTTTATTTTTGGTCTTTGTGCCCCAGAACCTTGGACAGTGCCTAGCATACAGTAGGTGCTTTATAAACATTTGTTGATTGATTGATTGAAAGAATACAGCATCTGGAGTCAGAATACCTGTGTTAAAATACTGGTTCTGTTACTTACTAACTATATGATTACTCCCACTCTCTGGGCCTCAGTTTCCTTTACTGTAAAATGATGAGTGAGTGGCAGATAGAGATGGCTTCCAAGGTCCTAAAGTCCTATTCAAATACTCTGTCATCTAAGAATATGACTCCCATGGAGTTATATTTTTAGGATATTGAAATATTTTCTATCTATCATTGCCTAGAATATTAGTGATCTAGCAAAAGTTACCCTTAAGCACATTTTCTGAAATGAAATTTATTTCCAACAGTGATTTTCACTGAAAGGGAAAAAAAAAAAGAAAGATCTATGTTAGCTGAGGAAAGTGGTTATGACAGTGGCTAGCCCCAAGAAATCCAAAAGTACTCTGACTTCGGGAGTGACAGAAATTTTATAACTCCAGGATCTTCCTTTAGCCTCTGAGTACCTTCTTATCCTTCTCCCTGGGACCATGGGAATTTCTTTTACCCCTGAGGTTATATCACCAGCTCTGAGAAGCTGTAGAGCCTTCTTTTTGATCTGGGTCTACAGATTCCATTGTGTTGCAAGAGTTACCAAAGCAACCCAGCTCTCCTGGTAAGCTCCTCCACCTACTTATTCTGGTCAACACGATACTGGCACAGCAGCAACAGTTGTAAATTGGAGTCAGTCTTGTGGAATTCTTTTTCATGGCATTTGAATTGTATTTGTAGCATCCCGTAGGACTAAGTAACGATATCACAGTTTGCCAGTAGGTGACTTGCCACCTAATATTTGATATAGTCCAGTTTAATGATTCTTTTGTTTGGGTTATGTATTCCTGGGTGTATTATTTTATCTGTGCGGCTACTCTACTACCAGTACAGATCATAGTCCCCCTAATACATAGAAACTTTTTTTTTTTTGGCGAGGCAATTGGGGTTAAGTGATTTGCCCAGGGTCACACAGCTAATAAGTGTCAAATGTCTAAGGTCACATTTGAACTCAGGTCCTCCTGACTCTAGAGCAGGTGCTCTATCTACTGCACCACCTAGTGGCCGTTACGTAGAAACTTTTAAAGACTTTCCATGGCTCCAGCCCACTTGGGAATGAGCATCTCCAACTCTAGCTAGTTTGATTCTTGGGTGACAGCCATTAGGTCCATTTTTTGGCCCAAACCTGAAGGCTTTCCAGCTTAGTAAAATATACCAGAGCCCTTGAGAAGCCAGGAGCAAGCCTCTCCCCTCCCCACTCCCACCGCAATAAGGCCTTGGAGGAAAACTTCAGTAGAAGATTCATATTACAAATTGAGTGCCCCTTCTCTCTTGACCCAGGCCCAGATTCTGTCTCCAGACAGTCCCCACTGTCCCTAAGAACTTACTTGATGGCATAGTTGCACACCAGGTACATGGCCTGGCGCCAGGTATTCCCCCAAACACTGATGTTTTTGCAGGTGTGAAGAGCACAGCCCAACCGATTGGAGGATGCCCACACCATCTGGCAAGGAACAAAGAGAGGGAGCGTTGGAGGTTCACCAGTGCACTGGGGTCATTGTCCACTCCACCCCCATCCCAGACCCTGAGCTCGATGGAAGTCTGGGGAGGGGTTATGAGAAGAGCTGGTAGGTTATTTTTTTTTTTTTTGGATCTGTAATGAGGAGGTCCAATCCAGTTTTGTTATAATCTGTAGCCAGGGGGGACCTGCCACTGACCCAGCTTGATCTCAACTTGTTTTCTGGCTGCTCTGAAGCTGGACTTCATTGGGAGTAAACAAAGACACCTTCAATTTCCCAATGGCTTTCAGGTCTATCTCACTCTAAAAATCCATTCTTTCATAAAAGGTAAACTCCAGGGTAGTTATCCACATTACAAATAATTCTTCATTTTTGTAAAAGTCATTCTTTTAGCTAATGAGTTCCCTAGTGCATTTACAACAGGATCTGATTTAACAGAATTCAACTTACTCCACAAGGTTTCCTCTAGCACAAACATTCTACGACTGTAACTTTTCAGTAGCACATCTATTTAACAAATGGCCACAGAGGTATTAAAAACCACAGGTCGATCCCTAGTGACATCATTTCCCCCATTAGAATGTTGAGCAGGGCCTGTCTTACTTTTCTATTTGTATCTCCATTATTTTGTGCTTTTCGCATAATAAGCACTTAATAAATGCTTTCTTTTTTTCCTTCCAAATTCACCAATTTTTCTTTCTTTTCATAATGCTCAAGAGATGTGTCTATCTCTCTAAGGTGGGCCATGACTCTATACTCCCTATAGTTAGAGGGCCTTCCATTTTTCCCCTACCCTGGATGTACCTGAGTATAGTGGGTGCACACAGGCCCACTACAGTGCCAAGGACAACGGGGGCTGCACTCTCTTGGGTTGGGGAATGAGTAGTGTTGCTTTTCTTCTGACCAAGACTTTATTAGATCCACAACTGATCGGTACCTGGTAGTAGAAAAAAAGGCATAACATAGAGAGAAGGGTTGTGAGAAAGACATCAGATGTAACAGAAAGAACTCTGAACTGAGAGTCAGGAAATGTGGATTCTAGTTCCAGATCTTATATTAATTCATTGAGTAACCTTGAATAAATTATTTCTCCTCTATGGGAAAGTTTTCTTATCTGCTACATAAGAAGGTTGGATGAAATGGAAGGTCCTTTTTTCCATGGTGCCATGAAAAGAGTAGATTTGGTGTCTGAGAATACAGATATGAATGTTGTTTGTCCTTCATTTTTGAAGAGGACTGTTGACATCACAGAGTGATGTCTTGACTTATGTGTGAATTGGATTTAAGTGAGATAGAGCTGCACAAAGTCATCAGACTCACTCTCTCTTCTGGAGTCATTGAAATCCAGTGGCCAGACAAAACTAAAGACCACTGGTGATGGCCTGGGATGCAGCGTATGACCAAGCTTTAAGCACTCTGCAGGGCCTGCTTTGGCCATCTTTGTGGCCATTGGAAGAAATTGCTAGTCTGCCCTTTCATTCAGGGAAGTCTTCACATGCCTGGGGTAGATACTCCCCTAACTCAACAATGGGTTTGAAGCCTGTTGGTTACCCTCAACCTGGTTTGGCCTGTCTGTCAAGAAGGTTTACCAGGGTGTGGCCACATGCTCCAGCTTCTTGGAGCCATGGGTGAGAATTGACTGCCAGGTAGACACCAAAGGTGAATGAGCAGCCCTCACACCAGAGTCTCTAGTCCTCCTTGAACACTCCAGACACCCCTGGACATGAATACCAGTTGTGTCACTAACTATCCGATCTTGGACAAATTAACCTCTTTGGGCCTCAGTTTCCTCCATCTGTAAAATGAGGGGGTTGGACTAGGTAATGTCTGCTTTAAATCTATGATCCTTTCTGGCTTTAATATTCTATGTTCTGACATTCTGTGTTCTAAGCTCCAACATTCTAAGTTCTGTTCTCTATATTCTATATTTTTTTCTCCAATATTTTATTTTCTGATGTGGCTTCCTGTCATTCTATGACTTTCTGAGGTAAGAGACCAGGTTTATCAGGAAGAGAGAACTGGTGCCAGAGACAGATTATGGAATCACCATAACCTTTCTTTACGCCTCCTCGAAGGCCTTATGAAGAAAAGGTCAGGGGCATTTAGTAGCTGATCAATCTCTGGAAGTAAGAAAGCTTCCTTCAGTTTGATGGGTATGCTGGGGAGGACCCAGGACCTTCTCTACACTTTCATTAACCACACTGTGAAAGGAAGCAGGAACAGATAATACAAAATAACAGATAGTCTGTTACTTTCTCTCATGGAAAGGATGGAGAAGAGGTATGCTCAGTGGTAGAGGGATGCGGAAAGAAGCTGGGGATGAAATATTTACTGTGTTGTTCTGTGAATGAAGTTTATGCAGGAAGCCTGAAGCCTGTCATTCTGGGGTTAGGGAATAAGCACGTTAGCTTGAAGAAACCCAGCAGGGGGATGGGGAGGATAACAGAAAAAGATATCAAGGTCCTAAATGCACAAAAATATTTATTCTGGCAATTTTTGTGGTGGCAAAGAGCTTGGAGCTGTAGGGATGCCCATCAGTTGGGGAATGGCTGAACCAATCATGGTATAGGAATGCAATAGAACACTATTAAGGTGCAAGAAATGAGAGATGGTTTCAGAGAAACCTGCGGCAGGCTTGTATGGACTGAAGTAAGCAGAACCAAGTGAACACTTTGTACTATATGTAACAACATCATAAAAGCAAACAATTTTGAAATACTTCATGCCTCTGATCAACACAATGACCAATCCTGTTCCAAAAGACTGATGTTGCCTACCTCCTGAGAGAAAGGGGATGGACTAAAATACAGAGTGAGATATATTTTTGGACCTTGCCAGTATGGGAATTTTTTTTTTATTGACTATGCTTATTTGCTACAAAGGTTTTGTTTTCCTTTTTTCTTTTCTTCCCCTAGGGAGTGGAGAGTGAGATTAAATAAATGCTGAACGATTGAAGAAATTTAAAAAAAAAAGCCAGATTGTCACTCACCGGCCAGAATGAATGGAGAGGTTCTGGCCCAAGAATTTCATTAGCTGTGGGGGCCCATGTTCCCAGATACACCGTGCAGCCCAGGCTTCAGCTGATCTGGCCAGCCGCTCATCCCAGATCTAGCAGGAAGAATCACAGAATACCAGAGTTAGAAAATGCCCCCAAAAGATCTTCCCAATCTGTGCTGGGCAGGAATCTCCTCTACAAATGGTCATTGAAGGCTTCTAATAACAGGAAGCCCCCTCCCTGCCTTTCAAGGGATCCCTTTCTGCTTCTAAACAGCTCTGATTGTCAGAAAATAATTCTTCCTTATGTTGAATTGTGAAATCTGTCTCAGAAAGTAGTTCAGCCCCTCTTCCAATCAATCAACTAACAAGCATTTACTAAGTGCCTTCCAAATGGGACAGACTTTGTGCTAGGTGCTGAGGATATGCATGAAGCCAAAAATGAAACAGCCCTCCAGGTGTCTTTACATTTTTATCAGGAGAAATGTCTTCCGTGCATATAAATAAACACAAAATGCATAAATGCGTTGAAATTTCAAGGGGGTGTATTAGCAACAAGGGGAGAAAAGGGGTCAGGAAACACCACCCAAGTGGTGGCACTTCAGTTTTGAAGGAAGCTAAAGACTAAGAAAAATGTAATAAAATACTTGAAAATAGTGATAATATTCACCACTCCTCTACATCTTTTATCTAGTCCAGAAGACCCTAGAGACATATTCAAGAATCACCAGGCAAGTAGAAGGCAGGCATTAACCAAGGACTACTCTGCTAGAATTTGAACCCAGGTCCTTTGACTCTCAACAATGGATTTAGGAAAGGTGGTACAATGTTAGGAGCCCTGGACTTGGAGTGTAAGACCTGGGTTCTAGTTCAGGCTTCAACATAGGGGACCTTGGTCAAGTCACTGAAACTAATGAGAGGTAGTGTAGCCTAATGGAATAATTGATCCTGGGCCTTTGAGGTGGGTGTGAGTTCCAATTACTTTTGGCAAGTGGCTCTATATCCCTGAGTCTCAATTTCCTCATCTATAAAATGGGGAAAATACTAGTGCACTTAACCTCATGGGGTTGTTGCAAAGCACTTTGTAATCCATAAAACAGCACTGAAAAGTGGGCTGTTGTTTTTATTCTTCCCATGTTATACAAGGGGTAAATTGAGGAAAAGGGACTTGTTAAAATCTAGACCCCAATCTCAGAATCCATCACCCATCTCTGAGCCTTCTCATGGACATCCTGCTGCTATGCACATCTTTCCCTCTCCCTCTCCCTTATGCCCCGTGGCCATTTCCTGATCTCTCTGGACCATAATTAATTTACGCTTTGCCCGGATAGCATTTCTCCTTCTCAGGAGTAGGAGACACTGGCCATTGTGGGGGCCTTGCAATCTGTTTCAGATGAGATATCTAGGAAGCTATTGGATGTCTATCTATCTCTGCTGGGGTAGGGACAATTGGACAGAGGGAGGGACTGAGATAACGCTAAGGACCTTCCTGGCCCAGAAGTCTAGGATTCTGAGCAATAGAGAAAGCCTACTACCTCCTGTCTCCTGCCCTCTCCAGGGGGTGGTCTCTGCCTATCTATGGCAGACCAGCTCTCCCACCCCTAGTCCTTCCAGGTCTTTGACCTCAATCCTGTATCGTCCCTCTATTAAAAGGGTTCTGAGCCTACAGTTCATGAACTTTTAAAAAATATTTTGGTAACTGTTATTTCAATATAATTGATTTCCATTGTAATCCTATGTATTTTATGCATTAAAAAATATCCTTCTAGAAGGAGTCCAGTGGGCTTCACCAGACTGCCCAAGGGGTCCAACATGCATAAAAAGTTAAGAATCCCTTCCATATAGATACTGAAAGGATGGTCATATCTAGAACTGGGTGGCATTAGCCTTGGGAAAGAGTGAAAAGCCTTGACCTGGGAGTCAAGACTGCTGATTGAGATTTGCACCTCTGCCCCTGACTTATTGGCATCTTTCCTTTCCAAGAGACCTTGGTTCCCCAACACATAAACTGGTAATATTAAGTCTTGTTCCTCTCTTCGCTGCTAGAGATCTGCACAAGCAGACTGGTTGGAGCAGGCTAGCAAAAGATTAGGGTAATGCAGAGTGCCTCAACCCACAACACTTGGGCTGAATTACACCAGGTGAGCAAGACTGCAAAGCTTGATGAGAAGGGAATGAGCAGGAAGTGGACACTCACCATGTACTCCATGTTGGCCGCAGGTGGATACACCTGTGCCCGGATGCGGTTGTGATAGTCCAGGAGTGCATTCATGTCCCGGGCTGAGATATGGCGCTTCCTTCGGGGCCTGGGCATGGACAGACCTAGGGCCAGTCCAGAGTGCAGAGCCCCAGGCTGGGTCAGGGCCAGACTGGTATTGGGAAGCGCCAGAGCATCCACCTTCTGGCTCCCCAAGAAGAACAGACCAACAAGGCACAGAGGGCCCTGCAGCAAAGGCATGGCAGGCTAGGGACTTGATCCTCTTAGGCTGAAATGCTTCCCAGTCAGGGTCAGAACAGGATATCTAGAGTTGCAGGGTACATAGGGAGAGAGACACACACATAGAAACAGCGCTGATCAAAATCAGTCTTCAGGAAAGCTTGCTCCTTGGAGTAAAGATACAAAAAGATACTCCCTACCACCTAAAAGAAATAGGATTCGAAAGCAGATTGTAGGACTTAGCTTAGAGCTGGAAGGGACCTTAGAATATAATAATCAGAAGGGCTTATTAAATCATACATTTAGAGCTAGTAAGGATCTTAGAAGTCATCTAATCCAGCCCACCCATTTTGTTGATGAGCAAACCAAGGTCTAAATAAGTTAAGTGACTTTACTAAGGTCACACAGCAATGACAGGAGTATCTGACTCCAGATACAGTGCTATCTCCAACATAGGACCATTCTCTTTGAAAACAATCACTACCACCCCTTTGTCCTCCCTTTGATGAGTCAAAGGGAGCAAATGCCCCAGGACATGTTTTCTGTAAGGGGAAAGGTCTGGATCTGTTCCTGCTGGGGGCTCAGATGTGGAGGAAGTTTGAAGCTGCTCCTATCAGGATTCAGTCTCTTCCCAGCCACTTTCCCCCCTGCTTCCCCCAATACCACCAAGGCCACTTCAGCCCAATCCCAACCTGGTTCAGTTCCTTAATGGGGGCAGGAGGAGGAGGGAAGTGAGGATCCTGTCTCTTGGTTTGTAAAGCCTCCTGTCCTCTCAAGCTGCATCCTTCCTGAAGGGAAGGAAGGATAGAAGAGAATAGGAGAGACAGACAGACAGACAGACAGACAGAGAGCAGGTCTTCCCTTCAGAGATCTGGGGATGCTGGGCCCACTTCGCATACCGAGGGGAGGGAGCCAAAGCCGGCTGAGAAGTGCCGGTTGGCAGGGGAGCCGCTGAGGCTGCTGCCGCCTGGCTGGGGAGGCAAGCTGACCTCTTCAAACACTGTAGCCGGCCCTGGTGTGAGAGGATTTTAAAACAGGCAGGTCTTCCAGGCAGCTGATGGCATCTGACGTGTGCTCAGCCTCCTCCCCACCCCAACCCCCACCCCCACCCCAATCCCAATCCCTCTCCCCCTTCCAACTCAGGGAAAGACTAAAGACTCAGGGTTTGGAAAGTGTGCTCTCTGCCAGAAAATTTATGGGCTTTTCCCCTCCCCATTCCTCTCTCTCTCTCTCTCTCTCTCTCTCTCCTCTCTCTCTCTCTCTCTCTCTCTCTCTCTCTCTCTCTTTCTCCCCTCCCCCCCTTTCTCTCTCTCTCCCTGCTCAGGCTACTCTTTTCTCCAATTCCTTTTCCATACTATGTATACTTAGGTCTGGGCTAGTCTGCTCTATGTATGAGATGTGTGAAGACAGGAAAGTGTGAATCGGATTTCATTCACACTTAAGTATTAAAGAATATCTGAGCTAAGACAAGGCTAGAGAACACAGAATGTCAGTGGTGGTTAGAATGGACATTAGAATATAGAACAGAGAACATCAGGATGTCAGAGCTGGAAAAGACTTTAGAAATAGAACATAGAAAGTTCAAGTTGTGTGGGACCTTGGATACAATCTAATCTTTGACTATTGAAGATGGAAAGGCATCACATTCCATGCAACTATCTTTTCTACAGTGGTTCTGTTGCGTTATTCATCATTCAGCAGCTGCTTACCCATCTGAAGTGATGGGGAGAGGAAAGGCTTCTTTGGCAGCTCTGATGTTTATGAAGCTATGCATCACATGGAAGCCATACATGGATGGTGGGAATGGACTCAGGACTAAGAAGAGCTCTCTGACCTACTCCCCCTAATGGTGTGTGTTTATGGGGTGAGAATTAGACTGTGGTGAGAAATAGGCTCTTTTTTGGTGTGAAACTAGCCAGTCCACATCATCATCATTATTATCGCTCCTTGGATGTCTCCAGCGGCTTACAGTTTACAAAGCACTTCTTCAGCATTTCGTTCACTTTTGGTTCTTTCAACGAACCAGATAAGGGCCTCCATTGCCCATTGAGGATTTGCAAAAAGACATAATGAGAATTGCACAAGATTGAAAAGTGTGGCAGGATGGTCGTGTGCATTGGTAGAGATGATGTCCGCACCTGTTAGATCATAGACCCACCAAAGTCTCTCATTCGATCCTTTCAACATTTGTGGGAGGTATAGAGGACCAGGATTATCATTCCCATTTTACAGATGATGAAACTAGGTCTAGAGAGGGAGCATTCCTTACACAAAGTCTCACGGTGAATTAATGGTGAAGCAAAGACTTTGGATGAAGCCCTCTCCTGACAGACTGCTCAGGCCCCTTTCCATTACACCATTCCTGCCTTATGTTGTTACTTAGTAACTTCATGTGTATATTTGTGTCAGAGGCACGATGAGTTCCCCCAGGAGGGCCAGGACTGTGTCTTACATTTCCCCCACATTGGCTGAATGCAGGGATAGACCCAGAGAAAGGGGGTTCATAAACACTTACTGAATTGAAAGTTGACGGCTCCATCTGCCTTGTTGGCAGCCTCCTCCTTTCCTCACTCCTGCCGGAGTTTGAGTCCAGCCTGCCCTGTCTGAGTCTGGATGCTTCCCCCTCTGACCTCCCTCATCTCCTTTAGGATCCAGAGCTGAACACACGGGAGGGGGGACCTGCAGGGGGCCGAGGGGCTGAGCTTTGAGCTCCACTTTCTCCCAGACACCCTCCCAGACGCTCAGAATTCCCAGCCCGGGCAGGTCCCCAGCCTCAGCTCCCACAGTCCAGACAGTTCTGGCTGCCAAAGCACACCCTCCCTGCAGAGAGAAGCAGCCTCTTCTGCCTAGGGGAGAAGCATTGAGAGGAGGAGAGGGAGGGGACGGGAGGGATCTGTGGCAAGGAAGAACCAGAGCTGTTCTAGCTTGGCAGGTGTGGGTCCCAGGCTGAAACCGGGACAAGAGGTAATAGGCCAGCTAAGCAGCCACCTAAGACACCACACACAGGCAGCCAAACCAGCAAGGTTCACTGTGTAACAGGACTTTTTATAAATGCTCATGTTTTGAATTCCCCACAGAGAGAGATGTGGGGAAAAGTCAAGTGGTCTGTGTTACAGGGAAGACTCACAAACTCCAAGGGCTGATCACACAGGGGAAGCCCAATTTTCACACTTGGCTTAAGGGTGAACATATGTCTTGACTCAGCCCTGGTCCCAGCATCCAGAGCAACTCCTGGCTGTCTCTGAACAAACCTAGCTGACTGCCCTGGGCCAGCAGGAGTCGGTGGAGAGGGAAGTTGGCAGGGACAGGGGCAAAGAAAGTTGCCTTTTGAGAGGCAACATAGTGTTGTGGAAAGAATATGTCAGGTTTTTTTGCTTACAATCTGTGTGACCTTGGGAGAGTCACTGAAGCTTCTTTGGGCCTAGGTTTCCTCTTCTGTAAAAGAAGAAGGTTAGGTTAGGTGATTTTTAAGGTCCTCTTCAGCTCTAAAGTCTGTAATAGTTCAATTCATTGTAGGCCATCCGTAATATCTATTTTAGTTCTGTTGATCAAAGGTCCCCTTAATTGTCCATTTAAAGAGATTTCACCAACATAAAAAGATCTTTGGGGTTTGGGGAAAGGGGCTCACACAGCATGGTTTGCCCTTTAAATCTACTTTTTCTCATGAAGTTGTCCAACCCTGGACTATTTTCCCTCCTCCTTCTATTTGCCTATTGAATTCCTACCTATCCTTTAGTGTTCCACCCTTCCCTGTATTGCATATCATAGTTACCTGTGTTTATGGTGTAGACCAGGGGTGGGGAACCTGAAGTCTGGAGGCCACATGTGGCCCTCTAGGTCCTCAAGTCAGGTTGGACTCAGTCAAAAGGTCGAGGACCTAGAGGGCCACATGTGGCCTCGAGGCCACAGGTTCCCCACCCCTAGTGTAGACTTCTTCTAGAATATCATCTCCACAAGGCCAAGAATGCAAACTTATGGAAGTCTCATATTCCCCCCAATGCTGTATACACAAAAGGCATAAATGTCTGTTGAATGAATGAATGGCTCTGCCTTTGGGTCCTAGATCAAAATCCCTGATGGCACAGGAACATTTGTCCCACTTCTACATTAAGAATAGACTTAGCTTCATGCCATCCTCTTATTCAGCAGGACTGTCTGGATCTGGAGCATCCACTCCTTAGAAGGAGATCACAGACTCCTAAACTGTCAGGGCTGGGAGGAATCTTAGGACATAGAATGTTATCACTGGAAGAGACCTTGGAACATAGAACATGGAATGCCAGGGCTGGGAGGGACCTTAGAGATCATCTGGCAGCGCCTCCTCGATTTATAGAGGTGGGAACTGAGGCCCAGAGGAGGGAAGCGCTTTGCAGTCAGCTGGTGACAGGATAGGGCTCGGCAGCCCTGGTCTCCTGAATCCTAAGGCAGCGCTCTTTAAGGGGTAGGGAGGGAGCTGGGGGAGAGTCGCACAGTACATTTGGCTTCCCTCAGGAGCACAGCTGTGGCTTGGGTAGTTGGCTGCATCTTGTGCCAGAGCAAAAGGAGTCCGCAGGCTGGGAGGTGGGAGGGCTCACCAGACCGTGAAGCATTCCGAGAAGCAGGCTGCTCAGAAAATAAACCCACCCTCAGAGTCACCCACCCTCCAGGGCCTCCCTTTCTCTTGCTTCTTGTCTTTTCTATCCTCTTGCATCCAGATATAGATATGATACCATAATCATCCCTTCATACACCTTCACCAAACCATGTGCAGTTATCTCCTATGTACATACAAGTGCTCCCCAATAGCATCCTGACACTACATACATGTCAAGAATCCACAGCCCCTGTATTATTTATCTACCTGTATCAATTACAGTCCCATTTGCCCCCCCCAAATACATACATGAACACAACATATGCTCAAATCTCCCTATTTGCGTAACTCACTCTACCCTCACCTTTGACACAAATTATTTTGTTATTTTTTTTCTTCTTCTTTTTTTTTTTTTTGGCTAGGCAGTGGGGTTAAGTGATTTGCCCATGGTCACATAGCTAGTGAGTGTTATGTGTCTGAGGCCGGATCTGAACTCAGGTCCTCCTGACTCTAGGGCCGGTACTCTATCCACTGTGCCACCTAGCTGCCCCCCCAAATTATTTTGTTATTCAGGCGTTTCTGTTATGTCCAACTGTGACTTCATTTGGGTTTTTCTTTGCAGAAATACTGGAGTGGTTTGCCATTTCCTTCTTAAGTTCATTTTACAGATGTGGAAATTGAGGCAAACAGGATTAAGTGACTTGCCCAGGGTCACACAGCTAGTAAGCATCTGAGGCCAGATTTGAACAGGAGTCTTCCTGACTTCAGGTTCAGAACACTATCTACTATACCACCTACCTGTCCAAAACAAATTACAAGCACATAAAAATACCCTCTACATCACACTCACAATTCAACAGACACTACCTACTCTGTGTAAAGCCCTGTACATACCATTTAAAGATACCTCTAAACATTATACAAAGGTAGATAATCCCTCAGTCCCACTTAAACACATATTCACTAACATACACAATAACACAAATGTACAAAAGGGCATACATATTCTAATACCACATGTATAGAATAAGAAGCATATTCACATACCAGAACAGTACAATGGAAAGAACAGTGGGCCAGAAGCCAGAGGCCTGGATTCTAGTCTTGTTTCCCACACTCTCTGGGTGACTTTGGGCCAAGCATTTCCCTTCTCTGGTCCTCAGTTTCTTCCTTTTTAAAATGAAGAGACTAGACTAATTCATTTCTAAAGATTCTTTCAGCTCTAACCTTCTGGGATTCTATGATACAGACCTTCCACAAGTGGTCAGGGGGTTAGATTCCAAATATTTTCCCATA